TTTGTGTTTGTGGTTTTGTCTTTAGAGGTACACTTTCACACACTTTGGGTCGTAAATCCGCTGCTTTGTCACACCTGGTTTATCCGGTCTTCCCACAGGTGATCCGACCACCGCCGAGGGCGTGTCGCTGGACCGCGGAAAGGTCAGCTGGCACTCAAAACCACACCAGAAATCAGACCAATATAAGAATGCTCTCCATTTATTATATAAGTGGGATGAAAATGACTGAAGGGTTCTGGTTGCCTCCTAGCCGGTGGACTGGAGCTGGAACCGCCATGCTGACAACAAATTCCAGTTCATGGATAATTACCTGGTCGCCCATGTCCGGTCCAAGAAGGACAAAGACGCAACGGAGTTCTTCAAACTGCTCGCCCTCTGTCACACTGTCATGGTGGACGACAAAGACGGTAACGCACACAAACTGGACTTTACCATTCATTGAAGCTGTATGTTTAGAGTCATCAACTCTCAAAATGAGCTGACAAGTAAAGAATGATTGATGATACTTGTAAATGTAACTTCTTTAAAGTTGTCTGCAAACTGATGTGCAGTACAGAAAAGGGTGGAAAAGGGGAAATCAGCTCTGAGGACTCCCTCTTCCGTGTGTCCGGCAGGTCAGCTGCTGTATCAGGCGGCCTCTCCGGACGAGGGCGCTCTGGTGACCGCCGCCAGGAACTTTGGCTTCGTGTTCCTGTCCCGCACGCAGGACTCCATCACCATCATGGAGATGGGCCAGGAGATGACCTACGAGATGCTGGCGCTGCTGGACTTCAACTCTGACCGCAAACGCATGTCCATCATCTGTACGGAAAGACCCTCGCACACACAGCTGGACACTTTACGGAAAACATTAACACGCATTTTCTTTTAAATCTAGTGTGTTTTTCAGGTCTACCAGCTCCTTACATCCTGTAGCACCTCATAAATAACAATATATTTATTTTTGAAAAATTAAGTAGAAAAAAGTACATCCTTTTGTTCTATCTTTCCAAAAAGCCAGTTGCTCTCATAGGTTTGGTGGACGATGTTCTATGTACACCTACATTTCCATATTCATTTGTTAAAACCCAAATAAACCCTGTTTGTCAAACTTGAGCACATGCACACATTCTCCTGTTACCGATCCACCTGTTGGATCCACCGCTTTATTTCTGACCATTTTCAGCCCAAGTGACAAAGACTTGTTACCAAACTATAAGAAACTATAAATGATATGGAGCACACATTTATTTACATTTTTTTTTATCTACACCGTCTCCATCTACATATGTAGGCAAACGCAACCCTACATACGTGACTGTGACTCCTTTTGTAAAGAAAAGTACCAGAACACCTACAGGCACACGAATGCTTTCATGGAAACTGTCAGTTGGAATAAGCTGAGCATTACAACATTTTACATACATATAAAAACATTTTAAGTAAAAAGGTCTCTCCTGGAATTCGTGCATAGCTTAAAGCTTGAATAAACTTCAACAACAATCAAGGTTGTAAAAATAGTTTAACATTTGAAACTCTGGCCATGGACGAAAGTTGAAGGACTTCCCAGTCTTTTGTCATGAGCTGCCTTTTTCTTATATTATCTTGCAGTGAAGTTCCCTGATGGCCGCATTCGTCTGTACTGTAAGGGAGCAGACACCGTCGTCTATGAGCGCCTCTCCCCCAACTCCAAATACAGAGACAGCACGCAGAACGCTTTGGATGTAAGTTCACACGCTGCTCCCACTTACTCTGCAGGCGTTTCAGGCTCTGGAAGAGTGGCGATCAGGAATGATTTCATCTGTTCACTTTCATTTGTGTCTTTTTTTTTTCTTCTTCTTTTTTAAAAGATTTTTGCCAACGAGACTTTGAGGACGCTGTGTCTGTGCTACAAAGACATCAGTGCCAGTGAGTACGAGGCTTGGTCCAGGATGCACAAAGAGGCCCAGGTAGCCATGGTTGATAGAGACGGAGCCCTCGACCGCGCCTATGAGAAGATCGAGAGCAACCTGATGGTGAGCGGGGGGTCATTTTTACATCATCCGTTCCATTCACTGTCAAAGATCTGTGCACGGGAAGGTTTGGTCCGTAAACGAAACGTATACGTAATTGCTTTTGGGGATTTGTTTATTAGCTGATCGGAGCAACTGCTATCGAGGACAAACTGCAGGATGGAGTTCCAGAGACCATCGCTAAACTGGCTAAAGCTGACATCAAGATCTGGGTCCTAACTGGGGATAAGAAAGGTAATTCGCCTCAGAATATCTAAATATACAGGAAAAAAAAGCAGATCGGCAATTATCAGTCATGAATACACCAGGAACAATTCAAGCTACAGGAGAAAATTTGTATCATGTGTTTTAATAATGATAATATTATTAATAATAATACATTTAATAATTTCCCTCTGGGATTATTAAAGTATTTCTGATTCTGATTTTCATTCATTTTCAGAGACGGCAGAAAACATCGGCTACTCCTGCTCTCTTCTGACTGATGACATGACTATCCACTATGGAGAAGATGTCAAGTAAGTTAATAAAGCTGAACTCTTCTTTCACAGCTTTGTCCCCTGAATTATCAAACTTTATCAATCCCCAAAGAAAAGTGATAAAAATCAAGTGTAAATCAATACAAAATGAAATAGTTTCTTCCTCTTAAAAGGGAAGAGGCCCTTTTGTTTAGCACTCAGTGTTGTTGGTAGGACTTCCCGCTTCTGCCTGCAGGGTTTGACTTAAACCAACACGCGTTACAGTTCATTTAAAGCCCTGTGCCTCATTTCCATGTGCCAGTGTCATGTGAGTCACCTGAAAATCTTTCACAATAGAAGTTACATTTTTGTGGTGGATTGTGGGGAGACGGTGCTGTGGGCTAAACAAACAGTCAGACAGATTACTAGCTCTGAGCACCGACTATAACATCATATTTCCTGCTTTGCATCTAATTACAAACCCATCTTAATACCTTAATAAGGTAAAAAAAAAAAAAGAATCCTGAGGTTTTTCCTTTTCTTTTTTTCTTTTTTTCCTTTGATGAAATTTTAGAAATTTTTCAGCATTTTCCAGCCTCTCTGCATTACAGGAGCAAACATCACAGGATGTAATCGATCCTTATTATGTGAAAAATCTTTTGTGTGTGCAGTGACAAGCTAAGGATTCGTCAGGCCAACAGGAGAAA